GGGCGCCGCGCGGGGGGCAGCCGAGGGTTTGGGCGCGGACCCGCGCTCCGGGCACCTGCGCGCCCGCTGTCGCCGCCTCGGCCTCCCGTTGTGTGGCGCGCGCAGGCCTGCGCGGCTTCCCAGAGGAGACGGAGGCTTGCGCCTGCGTGTCCTGCAGGTAGAGGGGTGGTTTTGTTTTTTGCGATGACATTCATTGTAACGTGAAATTCAGGATTTTAACCATTTTAAAGTGTCCAGTTGGGCGATTTGAGTGCACTGGCAGTGCTGTGCAACCCTGATTACTGTAACGTACGTTTTTCACTCTCCGAAGAAACCCATCCCGTTACCAGTCCCACACTTCCCACGCCCGAGGCACCTGGCATTCACTCTTCTGCTGTTCGTATCTGGATTTGCCTGTTGTACGCGTCACATACAAACAGGCTCAGTCCATACCCGACTTTAGGGTCAGGCTTCCTTCACTTGGCGCAGCGTTTGCGAGGTTCCTTTTGCTGACTGAATACTGTTCCATTGTACGCATAGACCACATTTTGTGTATTTGTCAGCTGGTGGATCTTTGAGTTGCTTCCACTTTCTTAGCAATTACAAATAATGTTGCCATGAACATTCATGTACCGGTTTTTCTTTGAACATATGTTCTCATTTCTCTTGGAGATACATAGTAAAACTTGTGGAAGCCTGTCAGAGAAGGAAAAAGCAGACGTTTTCCACTAAAGTGCTAGAAAAGTGGTAAGAGTGCAATCTGTCAAAGGTGAAAAACTTGCAAAACCCAAAAAAAACAGTGCCGTGTGGGCAAGTTCTGGCTCGCAGAGGTTTCACTGTATATACAGGTGCCACACACGCTCACACACGCTCACACACACCCCTGTGTGAGTGGAATTGCTGGGTCACATGGTAACTTTTTGTTTAACTTTTTGAGGAACTGCCAAACTTTTCCTCAGTGTCTGCCCCATTTTATATTCCTACCAGCGTTATGAGTAGAGCAGGTGGATTTACAATGATTTCTGTCAAATCATCTGAAAAGTGCTGCCTGGCTGCCTCTTAAGCCTATAAATTTACTTGACAGTGGCTGACAGATTTACACCCTCTCTTCCAAGATTTTGCTTTTTTTCATCTTATTCAAGTGATCCTTCTTTTCTCTTTGGGAAGCTGTTGTTGTTACATTTAAGTTATGTTTCCTTGTCAGGTTCCCTAGGTGTGTTTTCTTGCCTCTGGGGCTGGGGTCCCTTCTTTGTCCTTCATGAGTCTTCTGTGAGGTAGGACACCTGTATTATTTTCACTTTTGTCATTAGGTTGGTATCACGTGAATCACATCTTCCTGGGCACTCCTCTTGTGGATCAGTCCTGCGGATGGCGGCCATCAACCCGTGGGCTTCCTGGGGTGAGTCTACATCTTGTGTCTTTGAGGGCCCTGAGGTGGGCCTCTGTAGTATCTCCTTGGGCCAGGGGTCAGAGCTAAGGAGGGGTGGAGGGTTTAGGGACAGCACTGGAACTGAGGGGGATCAAAAAGTTTGATTTTTGGTGAAATGTGAAAATCAGTATAAAAGAAAGTATAATTTTTGTATATTTTAGAGTTGCTCTTGAGAAGTTTTCTCTCTCTTAAGGGTATCTGTTGCTTTGTGGAATTTCTCAGAAAACAGTCAGAATGTACAACCAAAATGTTTTCTCTACCACTCCCCTACTTTTCACCTTTTTTCAAATTTCACTTTTACAGCATGTGTGCAATTCAAAAGAATGTTAAGTAATAGTGTGGTTTTGGCTATTGATTTGTTAAACACAGCAAGGAAGTGTCCTTCTCTTACTCGTTATCTTTGAAAAACTAGGTGACTGTTGTATTTATCTGTTACCTTTTCAGCTGTGGAGGATTCTGTCCCTCCTGGCTCTGTGGCTACATCATCTTGCTGTGTGACACAGCTGTGCATTTCTGGTATAAATCTAGTGTCTTATTTTGGAGTTTTTTAACATGCCTACGTCTCTGTTTATGGCACTCATTAGTGGAAAGGCCGCCTTTTTTATTTTCTTGCCTCAAGTTACCAGGTTTGGTATCATGGTGTCTTTCTTTGCCTTGTCCTAACCCAATCCTGTTATGCAGGTGCCCTTACAGACCAGTCCTGGGGGATGGCGGCCATCAGCCCATGGGCCTCCTGGGCTGAGTCCACATCCTGTGTCCCCATCACCTGGCGTGGCGTGGCCTCTCCCAGCAGTGACCTGCCACAGCCAGGGGTCAGAGCCAGGGAGCCAGGTGAGTATTTAGGGCAGAGGGACCTGGTTGAGATCTGTCTGGGAATAGAGTTGGAACAGGGGCGATCAAGAAGCTCTCCTGGGGGATAGAGTGAAGGTGACGCCTCCTGGGGTGGGCGCTTGAGGACAAAAGCAGGGCAGAATGGGCTGCCATGTGGGTTGAGGCCGAGCCCAGGCCTGCTTCTCAGATGGTGCCTTGCACTGTAGAGGGGATGGTGAACAGCTCTGGGCCTGGACAGGTTCCTTACCTTCTCTGAGCCCCCTTTTCCTTCACCTGCAGTATAGGAAAGGGGGTTTCTTCCCTTGCCCAAGGGGGAGAGGTAGGGGCTGTCCCCCTCTGAATGCTCCAAGAAGATGGCCTATGGGTGTCCCTTCTAGGAGGGAGAGCTGCCCTGTGACTTCTCTCTTTTCCCTCAGCTCTGTATCCTGCCTGGCCTGTTGGGGGGACCCCTGAGGAGGAGAGGACCGCCTGGCTCTCGGCAGACCAGGTCCAGGTGAGACAGGTCATCCAGTGTTGCCTGAGGGGCCGGCCTCTCGTTTCCAAATGGTAGGCATCCAGGTCCCCCAGCCACCCCAGTCAGTGTGGCTCCTCGTTTATAAGAGCTAAACTTGGGCAGTGAGGAAGCCAGCCACAAGTTTACCTGATCTGCCGGCTTCCGGAGCTCCGCTCGGGAGAGTGTAACTGTTCCACAGGACTTGGAGCTTCTCTGTCAGCCAGACCTGCGCTCCTGGACCCCGCTGTGCTTGGGGTGGTCTCTGGGGATGGGGCAGTCCCCTCCCCTCACTTGTCCGTCTTCCCTCCTGAGGTCGGTGCCTGGCCTGGGCTGAGCCTGTGCAGTAAGCTCCGTGCTCTGAGGGAACAGGACTGGGTCTGAGCCCCTGTGCTGAGCAGCTCCCCACCCCCTTCCAGGCTTGCTGGCTCAGCTCTGGCCTCGTGGAACACAGAAGCCTGAGACACATAAGGGAGGTCTGTGGAACCGTGGTACATGGGGAGGTGGGTAGCATCTGCAGAGTTTGGTGGGGGCACACGGCAGGTGGGGCTCTGTCACTGTGGGAGGGAGGCTGCCTGCAGACACAGAGCACCTAGCCAAGAGCCAAAGGGTGGGCACGGCACGGAGACCCAGGGTCTGGGCTCTTGTAGCACCATGGGGCGTGTTTGAGGGGCGGAGTGTGTACTGCACAGCCAGTGCCTGGGAAGGGCTGACCCCGTTCGATGGGGGTTGCAGAGTCCCGGAGGATCTCCCCCGGGCCTGAGGGCCTGCTCTGGAGCGGGGCCCACCCTGGTGGTGACCACTGTCCAGGAGGTACCAGGGTCTGTGTGGAAAGTGGTTGGCAAGCTCCCTCTGGCACGGGGTGTGGGGGAAGTGGGCTGTCAAGAGCAGGTTGGTGTTTTAGGCTTTAGACTGCCAGGGCCGCAGGGGCTGGGGACGGGAGGAAGACCCAAGAGGTGTGAGAAAGTCAGAGTGGAGCTTCCAAGAGGGCGATGGGAAAGTGGACAGCAGAGGTGACGTGGGAGAGTGTTATCTCCCTTCTCCCTGGGCTTCCTCCCCAGAGAGAGCTGCCTGTAAGAAAAACTGTTTTTGTAACAGCGTCATTGAGCTGGGGAGCTCTGGTAGCATGGTGCCTAAGGCACTTGACTGCTAACCAGAAGGCTGGTGGTTCAAACCCACTAGCCACTCATCGGAAGGAAGGTTGGGCAATCTACTTCCGTAGAGATACCCCCTCGGAAACCCAAGGAGGGATCGCTATGAGTCACATCGACTCAACGGTAGTGAGTTTTTTTTCCTCTTCAATTGAGCTGTAACTCACATACCTGAAGATTCACCCGTGAACGTGTACGGCCCAGTGGTTCCCCTGTGTCCACAGTCGTGCAGCCCTCTCCTTGGTGTTTCTGCAGGACGTTACCATCCCCCAAAGAATCCCCGTGTCCAGCAAGCAGGACTCCTCCCTCTGTCTCCCTGAGCCCCAGCAGCCAGCCACTCTCTGTCTCTGTGAATTTGCCGCCCCTGACAGTTCATATCAAAGGAATCTTATAATACGGGGTCCTTTTTACCTGGCTTCATTCCTGTTGTAGCATGGGTCAGTGCTTCGTTCCCTTCTATGACCCAGTGGCCGCTCTCTCAATTTTGTTCTGTGTTTCTTGGGTTTTCTAAGTGAGAGATTGTAATCTCCGTTTCTCAATTCATCAGATTTGCATTTCCTCTAGTGAGTAATTATCCAACTCTGAAGATGAGAAACTCCTTTCGTTAGTATTTTAGGGAAGTTAAGATAATGAGTTATAGGAAGGTAAAATAGCATGATGTAAAAACATTAATAAAGTCTCTCCCTAACTTTATACCTGCCTCCCAAAGTTAAAATAAATAAATAACTGCAGAGTTAAGGCTGGTGATGTCTTCCATTTTAAGTATGTTGTTGTCTCCTGGCAGGGCTGCTGTCCCCAGGAAGCACAGGGCCAGAGCGTAGTGAGGGTGGTGGTTGTCTGGCCTCAGAACTTGGTGCTATGACATTTACTGCTGTTACACTATACAGTGACTTGCAGAACTGAGAACAGTTCCAGCAGGGAGGCTAGGCTCGGCTGAAAGATGGTTCTGAGACAGTGGGCAGTAGGAGTTAGCTGCAGTAGAGGACTATGGAGACCCTGCTACTAGGAGACCCCGCTACTAACCGCAGAGAAAATAAAGAGAATTAAAGTAACAACACGCTCTGGAGTCTGCAGATTGTGATTTCTGAGAACCTGCTCCCGGCCCCTCCCCACGCTCGCTTGAGACTTGACTCGTGGGTTTGAATTCAGCGAGGCCTTCAGTAGCATGCTACCACCCGTCTGTCAGTTGGTCCTACTGTGGTGGACCAGGCTTGCCTGTTGCTGTGAGGCTGGAGGCTGTGCCGATATTTCAAACACTAGCAGGGTCACCCAGTAACACAGTGAGACCTGTGTGTCTCTCTCATTCCCTCCAAGTTAAACATTCACTGAAATAAAACATTTGCCTGGTGAAAGCATCAAGTACTGCCATCCCTCACTATCTGAATCTTGGCCGTTCTTTAAAACACGTTCGATAGTGAATTTCCTACTAGTGGGAGCCTGGATCCCGTAATTTTGGGGAATGGGGAATGTTGTATGTTCCCAGCCCGTCTAGAAGCCCCAGCTAGCCTCCCCGAGTTTCCTGATCCATCCTGATGCTGCAGCGAAGGTGACTGCAGCCCCAGCACCATGCACCTCAGAGGCCAGGGCAGCAACTGGCCCCCGTGGGCTCAGGGCTGGGCACAGTCTGGCTATGTTTTCCTTCTGCTTAGTGAAGAGCTTGGGCGGAAGTATTGACATAACAAACGCGAGCGAGCCCTGCCCGAGGTGAAGCCGGTGTCCTCGAGCGGTCAGCCCTGGAGAACAAGCAGCAGTGAGGAGACCCACGCTTCTGGGTGCCTTAGGAGGCCCAGATGGGGGTCCTGTGTCTGCCGAGACCGTTGAGGGACCTGCATCTGCACACCTGCAGTTCACTGTGGCAGGTGATGCAGGAAGGGGCTTCAGCCAGTGAGGGCATACCTCCAGCCACCCGGCTGTGATGGCCTGCCACTGTCACCCCAAACCAGATCCCATGCTCAAGCCAGCGTTTCCTCCCGGAGCAGCCACCAAGAACTCACTGGTGCAGATGGCCATAGGCTCTGTGCATGTCTCCCGGGGGGCTTCCTGCCGCCTACCTCCAGCCTTGGGTTTTGCACCTTCCCCTGCCCTCGGCTGAGAGCTCGCCTGGTGGCCCTGAGCACCCCTCAGGCTGCTGGTGTTCTCAGTGCTAGAAATGTTGCCGTTTATTAAAACTGTGTTTTGACACATCCCAAAAGTACAAAGAAGAGTCGAGCAGACCTGTTGCGGTCACCTGGAATGACAAGTTGGCACGTTTTGTCTTATTTTGCTTTCCTCTTGTTTTTTAAACTAATCCCCGCTGGTTCTCTTCCTGCCCTGGAGCAGTGGCTCTGGGGGTTTGCTGTGGACTCAGCTAACCCGTTTTATACTCTTACATAGATAGTAAAGGTTGGGTGTAATATACATACACGTGTATTATTTATTTAAAAGTGTAGGTGACTTTTCTACAGTTTGTGCATTCAAGGTCAAGTTGGAGATCCATCCGTGGTGACAGATGGGGGCCGAATTCATTGACGGGCATCCCAGTTTTTTCTTGCTGTTCCAGCCAGAGCGTCGTGAATGTTTTTTGTACGTGTCGCTTTGTGCACGTGCACGTGTTTGTCTAGGCAGACCCCTGGCCTAGTTTTGCTGGATGGTAGGGTTGTGTTCTCATTCTGGCTCATGCCAGGGTAATCCCATTCTCTTCCATCTGCATCCTTGCTGACCCTCGGCGCTTGCATACCTTTAGTTCTCGCATGTATCAATGCTAAGGCGATGTACGGCGTTATTATTTTAAGTTGCATTTTGTTGACTGCTGGTGAGGTGAACGTGTTCTCGTGTGTTTCTGGCCATCTCTCTCCCTTCCCCTCCTCCCACCACGTCTCTCGTGCTCACTAGTTCTCTGTGGGCTCTGACCCACTGCAGCAGGGCATCCACGCGCATCCTGTTCTCTTCACGTTCTGTGATCCACGTTCTGTGATCCACATTCTGTGCCGTCTGGATTGCCTTCTCCCAGTCCAAGCTTGTTTTTAACTTTGCGATGTGATATTTGTCATGTGGTTTTTGGTACGTTTTTGTCAAATATGTTCATTTTTGTTAATGGTTGCTGTTTATTGACTCCTTTTTTTTTTTTTTTTTTTTT